TCAGTTGTTTCCCACAGAAAGGGATGACGCTGGGGAAAGTGCAACTACTGAGAGCCAGGTAGATTCAGGAAGGGAGGACGGTTCTCAGCCAGATAATGAGGGAAAAAGCACTAACGAGGAAATTGACCTTGATGGAGCCGGAGGTTTAGATCGAGCTGATCTGTTGAAATTTAAGGTCCGAAGGAGTGTCAGGATCACTAGCAGACGAGAGAGGGAGGCTCGGAGTGATAGAAATGCCTTCATGTTGCCCAAAGTGTATTAAACAGGCTGTTTGAAGATGCCTCAGTGTCAGAGCAACTTCCCGCTTCAACCAAGAAACTTTGGATTTATCTTGCAGCTTTCATGTTCATGTTTCAGGACTTTGTCATGTTCTCATGGGACTTTGCCTTGCCTGTGTCTTCATGGATCTTGTTTGCCTATGTTACCTTGGATGGATCTTTTGAAATATACTTTTGCCTTTTTGAACCTTTTATCTTTTACTTTAATAAACCCTAAAGCAGGGGTCCTCAAACTTTTTAAACAAAGGGCCAGGTCACAGTCCCTCAAACTGTTGGAGGGCCGGGTTATAATTTGAAAAAAAGCATGAATGAATTCATATGCACACTGCACATATCTTATTTGTAGTGCAAAAGACACTTAAAAACAATACAAGAATTAAAATGAAGAACAATTTTAACAAATATAAACTTATTAGTATTTAAATGAGAAGTATGGGCCTACTTTTGGCTGATGAGATAGGATTGTTGTTGTTGTGTACTTTCAAGTCATTTCAGACTTAGGTTGACGCTGAGCAAGGGCCAGGTAAATGACCTTGGAGGGCTGCATCCAGCCCCCGGGCCTTAGTTTGAGGACCCCTGCCCTAAAGACTAGTGCTAGTGTGTTCTTTGGTGTCTTAAGCAAGGTGATTTTATCCTGAGGTGCGACATCAACAGACTCCTCAAACTCTGAGGATGCCTGCCATAGATATGGGCGAAACATCAGGAGAGAATGCTTCTGGAACATAGCCATACAGCCCAGAAAACTCACAGGAACCTAGTGATTCCAGCCGTGAAAGACTTCGACAACAGAAAAATTAAGGTTTTTCGAGTTTCAGATATTCCAACATGGGCTGAACAAAGCCTCAATGTGGCAGCTGAGGACTGGTTCACCGATCAAGGAAACCAAGAGAGAATCAAGCTCAATAGAGAAGGGAATGGACCATAGTTCAGAGACAGGCCCTCTCTTTTAACCACCCCAAAGACCCATTTGCACGACAGAGTTAGAGCAATATTATTCTACTTTAACAGCCCTGCTTCTATTTTATGGGACCCTGGGGTTGGCCATTTAGGGAAATTTTGCATCATTAGCCAAGGCCTAATCTCCATTTTCCAAGTTACCTGGTTGCTAAGGCAGATTCAAGCCATTTGGATGGAGAAAACAGCTGCCTGAAATCCCTCGCAATATAATTCAGATTGTCAGCAAACACACGTTCGTTCGGCACAAATGCCTGCCTCGGAGCTGCCAGCCCTTCGTTGCTTTCTCCAGCATTCTCGACTCAACGATAAACTATTTGGATGACAGCTCCACTGCAGGCGATGCTCTTTTTACGAGCGTCTCAGCGGAACATGAATAAATAAATAACATACCCTTCCACAGTTAAGAGATGAAAACAAGGAAGCGTCAAAACGTGGCTTAGCTGACAGAGGTTATGAATGAGGGAGAAAACCCAAGTCAAGAAAGGCTGCAGCGGTTTGCTTTTGCCTGAGTCTACTGGGAAAGGCAAGATCCAATGCATCGACATGGTAAAATAAATGCAGTTTGATACCACTTTAACTGCCATGGCTCAATGCTATGGAATTCTGGGAGTTATAGGTTGATGAGGCTTAGACAGAGAGATAGATCGATAGATATAAAACAAAATTCAAAACAATCCCTCGGCAAATATTACAAAATTTTAAAAATGCCTCACGAAATCCATATATATTTTGGATATCTGTTTAAGGAGCTCCACTGGCTGCCGTTTATTTTCCGAGCCCAATTTAAGGTGCAGGTGCTTACCTACAAAGCCCTGAACGGTTTGGGACCACCCTACCTGCGTGACCGCATCGCTGTCTACGAACCCACACGCTCACTCCGGTCATCAGGAGAGGCCCTGCTCGTGATCCCGCCCGCGTCACAGGCGCGTTTGGTGGGGACGCGAGACAGGGTCTTCTCTGTGGTGGCCCCCCGCCTCTGGAATGCCCTCCCGAAAGATCTCAGACAGGCCCCTACCTGGCAGTTTTCAGAAAGAACCTGAAAACCTGGCTGTTCCAATGTGCCTTCTCAGATTAGGAACCCCACTACCAAAGCCCAGAAGCACTTTAGTAGAGTCAAGATCACCCTCACCGCACACTGCACCTATATTTTAACCCCATATCCCTCCGACACTTCAGCACTTTTAATCCTGTACCCTACTCCGGCCGGCTCAGTTTTTAATAATGTCCTGTTGTATTGCTATTGTTTTGTTTTCTGCTTTAACTGTTTTATTTGCTATGTATTGTATTGTTGTATTGTGTTGGGCTCCGGCCTGTTGTAAGCCGCATCGAATCCCTTGGGAGATGCTAGCGGGGTACAAATAAAGTTATAATAATAATAATAATAATAATAATAATAATAATATGGGGCCCAAATGTAAGAACTCCATTTATTTATACTTCATATATGTATTAATATATATATATTCCATATATTAATTTATATTTAATCTCATACATAAAGAATACATAATAAATAATCATAATACAGAAATAATAAATTTAAATATATATTTCCCAAATATTAATGTATATTTAATCTCATACATAAATAATACATAATAATAATAATACATAAATAATGCATATTAAATAAATGAATTTAAACATATATTTTCCATATATTAATTTATATTTAATCTCATACATAAATAATACATAATAATACATAAATAATGCATAATAAATAAATGAATTTAAACATATATTTTCCATATATTAATTAATATTTCATCTCATAAATAAATAATACATAAATAATAATAAATACATAAATAATAATAATAAAATATTTTTTTCATATATTAATTTATATTTAATCTCATACATAAATAATAATAATACATAAATAATGCATAATAAATAATAAATGAATAAATTTAAATATATATTTTCCATATATTAATTTATATTTAATCTCATACATAAATAATACATAAATAATAATACATAAATAATAATAAATTTAAACATATATTTTCAATATATTAATTTATATTTAATCAGATACATAAATAATACATAAATAAAAGTAAATACATAAATAATAATAAAATTAAATATTTATTTTCCATATATTAATTTATATTTAATCTCATACATAAATAATAATAACACATAAATAATGCACAATAAATAATAAATGAATAAATTTAAATATATATTTTCCATATATTAATTTATATTTAATCTCATACATAAGTAATACATAAATAATACATAAATAATAATAATAATAAATGTATATATATATTTTCAATATATTAATTTATATTTAATCACATACATAAATAATAATAAATTTAAATATATATTTTCCATTTATTATCTCATACATAAATAATAATAAATAATAAATAAATAATCATAAAAGATAAATAATACATAATGTCACCTTTTACACAATACATCTTATTGTGCTCACGCCATAAACATTTGTGCTCACTGAGCCCTCAAAAGGCAAATGTCTCACTCTCTCAGCCACCAATTTGGAATTTTGAGGATGATGGATGTCAATTTTCCGCCAGGCGGGCTCTGATTGGTTCCCATCTCCAAAAGCCCGCCTCCCGGAGCCCTACAATGAAGGTGACAGACTAAGCTCCGCCTACTTTGACAAAATGGCGGTCGGTCTCCCTCCCTTTCATTCTGCTGCTCTCCATAAAAGGAGCTAGGGCCTCTACGCATGCGCATTTTGACGTCTCATATTTCCTCCCTTTTCGTATTTAGTTTGTCCGCCTCGCTTTGCCATAACTCGGCTCCTCCCAGTTTGGTCTTGGGGAGTGGGCGGAAACTTGAGAAAGGAACTGGGCACTACGCATGCGCATGCCGTAGCCTGTCCTAGTCAGGCTCCTCCCACTTTCGTGTCGAGAGTGAGCGGTACATTCCCTGAAAGGGACTAAAAAGGACTGGGCACTACGCATGCGTAGTTTAAAGCGTATTGATCTAGTTTGTCCACCTCGCCTTGCCATACCTCGTCCCAGTTTTGATCTTGGGAGTTAGCGGGACTCTAGAGAAAAAAAACTACGCATGGGCAGTGAAAGCGTTTCTGTAGCCACGCTCCGCCCACTTTCACGTCGAGAGTAAGCGCTATTCCCTGAGAGCGTATTGACCTAGTTTGTCCAATTCGCCTTGCCATACTTCATCCTCTCCCAGTTTTGATCTCGGGAGTGAGCGGGACTATAGAGAAGAACTAGGCACTACGCATGCGCAGTGAGCGGGACTCTACCGAAAAGAACTAGGCACTACGCATGCGCGGTGAGCGGGACTCTATCGAAAAGAACTAGGCACTACGCATGCGCGGTGAGCGGGACTCTATAGAGAAGAACTAGGCACTACGCATGCGCAGTGGAAAGCGGTTGCCGTTGTATGTCGTCACCAGGCTCCTCCCACTTTCACGATGAGAGTTACCGGTATTCCTTGAGAGCGTATTGACCTAGTTTGTCCAATTCGCCTTGCCGTACTTCATCCTCTCCCAGTTTTCATCTCGGGAGTGAGCGGGACTATAGAGAAGAACTAGGCACTACGCATGCGCGGTGAGCTGGACTCTATAGAAACGAACTAGGCACTACGCATGCGCAGTGGAAAGCGGTTGTCGTTGTATGTCGTAGCCAGGCTCCTCCCACTTTCACGATGAGAGTTAGCGGTATTCCCTGAGAGCGTATTGACCTAGTTTGTCCGCCTCGCCCTGCCGTAGCTCGGCCTCTCCCAGTTTTGGTCTAGGGAGTGAGCGGGACTGGACACTACGCATGCGCAGTGAAAGCGCCTGCCCTAGTCGGACATACTCCTCCCACTTTCTTGTCGAGAGTGAGCGGTGCTCCCTGAGGCGCTACGCATGCGCGGTTCAAAGCGTCCCTAGTTTGTCCGCCTGGCCTCGCCGTAGTTGGGCTCCTCCCACTTTTGCCCTCGGTGTGTCTCTCTCTGCAGAGCGGTGAGGTAGCGGTGCGTGGCCCATTCGGCGTGGGAAGAGGAAGGAAGGAAGGAAGGAAGGAAGGAAGGAGCAGCGGGTCCGCGCGGGTTCCTCAATCGCCTCAGCCCGCGGGCCTCCTCTTTTTCCCCCCTCAGCCATGTTGGCCGCCGCCGGGCTCCTCCGCCGCTGCGTCTCCGCGCCCGCCCTCCGCGCCCTCCTGCCTCGGGCCTCCGCCGCAGGTGAGCCCTCGCCTCGGGAGGAGGGAGGCGGCGCTAAGGCCCGCCCTCTCCGCTGGGCGCCCGCCAGGCCTCGCTTTCCCCGCCAGGCCTAGCCGTGCCCTTGCCGTGACCCCCGCCCGGCTACCTCAGCAAGGCGGCACCTGCGCCTGCACGGACACACACACACACCAGGCCTCAAGGCCCCGGCCCTCATTTCAGGGAGACACCTTCGCTTCTGTTTCAAGCCTTCCCTGCACTCACAAAATTATTCAAATTATTATTCATAATAATAATATAGTCCATATAAATAAAAATGTCATGTTCCTTTGTGGGATTAACACACAGGACATTAAGATCGTCCGGGGAGGCCCTGCTCTCGGTCCCGCCTGTGTCACAGGCGCGGTTGGCGGGGACGAGGGACAGGGCCTTCTTGGTGGTGGCCCTTCGGCTATAGAATGCCTTACCTGTAGACATCAGACAGGCCCCTTCACTGCTGGCGTTCCGGAGGAAGGTTAAGACCTGGCTCTACGAACAAGCGTTTGGCTAAGCAGTGCAACTGAACACAGGAAGACGGTAAAATTGAACATAGGAAATGGTACAAGGATTATGAGAACGGATTCTGATTTGTTATTGAGGCGTTATGATATGATAATGATTGTTTGATTTTGTCTGCTGTATATGATGTGATTTAATCGCTTAGGATATTGTTGTGATAACCTGTATTGTGTAAACCACATTGAGTTGCCTAATTAGGCTGAAAAATGCGGTATAGAAATAAAGCAAATAAATAAATAAATAAAATAACAGAACCCAAAAACTACTGGACGAATTGACACCAAATTTGGACACAAGGCACCTCTCAGGCCAATGAGTGACCATCACTCATTAAAAACACAGCAGAAGGAACTTAAAAACCCAAAAAACAAAATTACATTACAATGCATGCACAAAACCACCCAAAAAACAAAATTACATTACAATGCATGCACAAAACCACGCACACACACATATATATGCCACTTATATACACACACAAAACACATATGCATATATAAACACATAGTGCAACAATATTGCTTTTATTTATTTTATTATAATATAATGTTGATGATGACAGATTTGGCAGATTTAAGGAGTGACTGGAGTACACACAAGAAAGCAAGATATGCCGTTCTACTATAAGCAGACTCACAAAATTATTCAAATTATTATTATTATTAATAATAATATAATCCACAGAAATAAAAAATGTCATGTTCATTTGTGGAATTAACATAACTCAAAAACCACTGGATTAATTGACACCAAATTTGGATAATAATAATAATAAGACTCGGGGCGGCTAACATGAGGCCGAGCCCAAAAATAATACAACAAAATAATATACAAAACTATAGAAAATTAAACACAACAAAATACATAACACAACAAAATAAAATAGACAATGCAAAATAACATAACAAACACAAAGGGCAGGCCAAATGTGCAAGATAAAATGTTAAAACCCTGGGTGAGATAGGAAGTAGAAAGAGTGTATTTGTAAAAGACACTACACCCTTAACAGACCAATGAGTGACCATATAAATAAAAATGTCATGTTTGTTTGTGGGATTAAACAAACAGCCCTGATTTTAGGGAGATAATAATATTTCTATTTCTATTTCAAACCTCCGCAGGACTCAAAAGTATTCAAATTATTATTATTATCCATATAAATAAAAATGTAATGTTCATTAGTGGGATTAACATAACTCAAAAACTACTGGACAAATTGGCACCAAATTAGGACACAAGACACCTCTCAGGGCAACAAGCAACCATCACTCTGAAAAACACTGAAAAACACAACAGAAGGGACTTGAAAACCCAAAAAACAAAATTACATTACAACGCATGCACAAAAACATATATATACAGACCAGTGAGTGACCATATAAATAAAAATGTCATGTTCGTTTGTGGGATTAACAGAACTCAAAAACCACTGGGCGAATTGACACCAAATTTGGACACAATACACCTATCAGGCCAATGAATGACCATCACTCATAAAAACACTGAAAAAAACAACGGAAGAGACTTATAAAGCCAAAAAACAAAAATACAACGCATGTGCAAAACCACACATACACACACACATATATATATACACACATACACAACACATAGACTGGGCCACAGCAACGCGTGGCAGGGGACAGCTAATAATAATAATAAATCTTTATATCTCGCTTTTCACTGTAATGGGACCCAAAGTGGCACACAATACGGATCAAACCACCTTTAATATTTACAGGTACAAGCCAAGAATCACACAAAGCATAACAAAGTCCAGAAATAAGTTAGAAATAAATATTAGGCATTAAAATATTTAATATTAATTAATTAAATATATTTTGCTAAGCTCATTGAAATTGAATCTATTTCTTAATTTATTTATAATATTTCTACCCCACCTTTCTTGAACCTGAAGGTGACTCAAGGTGGCTTTGCAACATAGGCAGCTATTCGATGTCATTAAAACAATGTAAAAATTACAATAAACACTTAAAACAAAATTATAAAATACATACATTAAAACCTTTAAAAACATATAAAACCACTACTTTCACTATTAGCCTCGTTGTCCAAAAACATTGTCTTAAGTCGTTCCAGTATTCGATTTCACATAGTTTCGTGTTTATCTATTTTGTACTAGCATAGACCACGTCTGCCCAAGTTTCTTAGATCGGGTTATCATGTTTGTCTGTAGATGAGCAGATGACTATTGGTAGATGGCATTTGTTCTGTATCTCAAAACTAAATCTGATGGGGAAAATGGGTGCCATTTTTGGAATCAACAGGTCATATATATGCAGAAACAGATTGAAAATGTTAGGGTTGATGGTAGTATTGTTGTTGCACTTTCAGAGGGGAAGAAATGGAGGAAGAGATGGGAAAGGATATCTGTATATAGAATAATAATAATAATAATAATAATAATAATAATAATAACAATAGATTGTATTTGTTACCCACCTTTCCTTATAGCTCAAACACATCTGAAACAGATATAGGAAATTTCATAGTACAAAGATTTAAACATGGTTGTAATATAAAGCAAATGTAAAATTTACTGTTCAAATTCACATTTGAGTAAGGCCACATTTCTGGTATTTCAAAGAAAACATCAGATATATTAGGTGAAACTGGGTCTCTTTGTTTGGCCACAACTTAACCTACTTATTGGTTAGTCATGATGGTGACATTAATGTGTGCCCTGAAATCAATGGAGAGAGAATGGAAAAACTATTTTCAAATCCATATTTTTCCTAATTCTGTTTTGAAAAGATAGATTCGCTTTTGAACTCTTAAAGAGGTAGCATCAAATGTCCCTTATGTTATGAATCCTCTTTTGCATCGATATGTCTTGCCATAATCTCTTTTTCAAGGTCATAGAAGCCCTATTTACTTCAGCTTTGGCTCTCTAGAACCTTTTGTCCCTATTCATCTTCTGTAAGTCCTAATAACCCTTTTGCTCCTTTTCTATCAGTTTGTCTCCCATGCAAAAAAAACAAAAAACAAACCCAAACTTAACAGGTCAGCCCAGTCTTCATAATTCTGGTTGTGTGTCACACTTGCAGAATCCACATACTACCTGTTAGTGTTACAAAACTGAATAAATGGGTCGCATTTGTTCTCGGGTATTTTCCTTTCATTTCAAGGCTCAAAGTACATGGAGGAAACTGAAAAATTAATCAGGACTGCCAGTAAGATATAGCGGAGAGAGGCTGGGCCAGGTTCTTAAAGCAAACTGTGGCCTGAGGTGCTCTTACTGCATAGAGTTCTTGCCAAGTGTCCACTTCTACCTGACTTTTGATACTAGAATAGAGATCTGGGAAAGAAGAATGGGTTGAAGCTGAGTATGGTATTTGTTTTTTGTTTTGTGCAATTTTAATCTCCCTTCAGGGCAATTAAAAAAACTCATGTCCTTAAAAGCCCTTTAAACAGGGAATCAGAGACCAGCTTCATGGAGGAGTTGATCCTTAATAATAATAATAATAATAATAATAATAATAATAATAATAATTTATTTATACCCCCGCCACCATCTCCCCAAGGGGACTCGGGGCAGCTTACATTAGGCCAAGCCCAACAATACAACTTTATTACCATGTTCTTATGTGGATTTATTATGGAATTCAGTTTCTGTTACCAATCCCATACAGATAGTTCTTGCTCCAAGGAAGGAAAAGGTATTATCACTGTATAGGACAGTGTTTCTCAACTGGGGGTGTCACAAGGGGGTGTCAGAGGGATCACCAAAGACCATCAGTGCTCTCTGGATGCAGGTGAACTACAACTCCAAAACTCAAGGTCAATGCCCACCAAACCCTTACAATATTTTTTTTGATGGTCATGGGAGTTCTGTGRGACAAGTTTGGTTCAATTCTATTGTTGGTGGAGTTCAGAATGCTCTTTGATTGTAGGTGAACTATAAATCTCAGCAACTACAATTCCCAAATGTCAAGGTCTATTTTCCCTAAACCACCAGTGTTCACATTTGGGCATATTGAGTATTTGTGCCAAGTTTGGTCCAGATCCATCATTGTTTGAGTCCGCATGCTCTCTGAATGTAGGTGAACTACAACTCCCAAACTCAAGGTCAATGCCCACCAAACCCTCCTAGTGTTTTCTGTTGGTCATAGGAGTTCTGTGTGCCAAGTTTGGTTCAATTCCATCGTTAGTGAAGTTCAGAATGCTCCTTGATTGTAGGTGAACTGTAAAACCCAACAACTACAACTCCCAAATGACAAAATCCACCCCCCTCCCAACCCTGCCATTATTCAAATTTGGGCATATTGGGTATAAAATACATCCTACCTATCAGATATTTACATTATGAATCACAACAGTAGCAAACTTACAGTTATGAAGTTGCAACGAAAATAATTTTATGGTTGGGGGTCAACACAACATAAGGAACTGTATTAAGGGGTCACAGCATTAGGAAGATTGGGTATTACAACCAAAATATATCTCGAAGGGCATGATCCCATGGTGACTTTGAGTGTATCTAAATAGAAGTAGGGGTGGTAAACACAACGACATAGCATTGCAGAATGCTTTGCTACTGAGATCCTGATACTTATCTAGCTGGAAGCCTAATTGACAGATGCTGCATTGCCTTGAAGCCTCTATCTATGCTTTAACAGTTTTGAGGAACAGGAAGATGTGATATATTTACATTTTACAAAGCAGGTTTTACAGTCATTTAAGAGACATAACTAACTTCAAAATCTATGGAAGCTGTAATGAGAGCAGCAATTAGGCATCATCTTAAGCCTATCAGCATTACAGGACTGCTGCTTTACTTTAGTTAAACAGCTGTTCTGAGTGAGTTATGAATTTAAAGAACAAAATAATTACGGCAATAATGTTCAAGCCTTTATAAATTATATAATGTCAAGATTGCATTGTTAAAAGTTCGGTAGTCAATTAAAAAAAATCAAACCTGTCATAATTTTTTCCCTGCCTAAAGGAAGTTTTAATGCACACGTTTTAGTTACCCTGCTGAGTGGGATTGTAAGAGAATGAAAGTGTTCAATTGAGCAATCTTTCTGTAGCAGTAGATGTTGCAGTTCCATGTCATCTGTGCATGGTGTAATACATTAAGAAAGAGAAACTGTACCAAGCTGCCACCAAATGAATAGTAATCATGCATGCTGTATCGAGTAGAATATAAATGAGTAATCTAGATACAGTTGTCTATCCTAATTACGCATTTCTCGGATTCTTAGATTATGTTTATCATGAACATCCATGTTCCTTGTTTCCTATGTGTATATACCAGGCATGAGCAAACTTGGGCCTTCCAGGTGTTTTGGACTGCAACTCCCACAATTCCTAACAATCAGTTAGGAATCTTGACATTGTTGGAGTTGCAGCCCAAAATATTTATTTATTTATTTATTTCACAGTTTTGTATACCGAGCTTCTCAACCTCGCTGAGGGACTCAGCCCGGTTTACAGCCATAAAAACATATACATTCATTAAAATATCATATATCGCAAATTACAAAACAACTTTAAAATACACTAAATAATACCTGGAGGGCCCAAGTTTGCCCATGCCTGGTATGTTCCAATAATTTTAACAGTACAGAACTGATTAAACTATAAGCATTAGATTATTTATTTCTTTGTTTGCCTTTGGCTATTGAGTCATAAGATGCATTGTAATCCATCTCTATCCAAGTAGTTTCTTAGCAACCGAAAATATTCTTGGAAGTGACTGTTGGCTGGGGTAGAAGGGAGTTGAAGTCCAAAATATCTGTAGACCACCTATGTTTGGCAGTTGTTTCTCATATTGACCACTTTAGTGAAAAGGTTGTTTTTACTGGTGAGTTTTCTATTAGTGGGACAACACATCTACTCTGAGTTTTAATATAAACATTACAAGAGCATTCACAAATGTTGAATACCACATGTAAAAATGTTCCACATGGGTGATAGCTCCTTTAATATTCTTTAACCTCCCATCTATCTATCTATCTATCTATCTATCTATCTATCTATCTAAAAATGCTCTGTGCATAATGAGTACCTTAAAAACAAAAGAACCAATGAACGAAATCACACCAAATTTGGCAACAAAACATCTCAAATCACAAGGAGTGACCATCACTCAAAACATTATGATTTTGTCATTTGGGAGTTGTAGTTCGCCTACAATCAAAGAGCATTCTGAACTCCATTAACAATGGAATTGAACCAAACTTGGCACACAGAACTCCCATGACCAACAGAAAATACTGGAAGGGTTTGATGAGCTTGAGTTTGGGAGTTGTATTCACCTACATCCAGAGAGCACTGTGGACTCAAACAATGAAGGATCTGGACCAAACTTGGCATTAACACTCAATATGCCCAAATTTGAACACTGGTGGTGTTTGGGGAAAATAGACCTTGACATTTGGGAGTTGGAGTTGCTGGGATTTATAGTTCACCTACAAAGAAAGAGCATTCTGAAACCCAGCAAATGATAGCATTGGGCCAAATTAGCTAGTCACTCATAAAAACACAAAAACACAACAGAAGAGACTTAAAAAGCCAAAAAAAATAAATAAAAAAATACATAAATAAAAATACATTAAAAAATAGCACTCAATATGCCCAAATATGAACACAGATGGAGTTTGGGGGAAATAGACCTTGACATTTGGGAGTTGTAGTCACTGGGATTCACAGATACAGTACCCTAGATTTGAAAGGGACCCTTAAAGAAGGACAATGATATGTTGCATGTTCCAGAGTAGGCCAACCAGACACTCTCCACATCAACACTGACAAAGAAACAGCAAGAAATACTGTTTACCTACAAGGATAAAGAAGTTACATTTATTAGAAACCAACACTTTCTCATTACTTTATTTTCCAGATCAACAGACTGGGCCACAGCAACGCGTGGCAGGGGACAGCTAGTAAATAAATAAATCTAGCCAGGAAAAAAAAATCATAGGATGGGATTGCCATAAATTACAGTTGGCCTGAAGGCATCTAACCATACATCAAGTGAAACCCAGAGCCCTAGTAGGGCTTGCAGAGAGAAGACTGTGGGTTGAAAACACTCACTAGACCAGTGGTTCTCAACTTGTGGGTTCCCGGGTGTTTTGGCCAACAACTCTCAGAAATCCCAGTCAGATTAATAGCTGTTAGGATTTCTGGGAGTTGAAGGCCAAAACATCTGGGGACCCCCAGGTTGAGAACCACTGATCTATAGGAAAACAGGCTTTTCTAGATCAAAAGTCAACGTGCTTCGATCCTCTTACTTTCCCATGGTCATTGAAAGTACATTGCTGTAGGAATTACATATAGTACTGTTGAGAAGTTTTTGTTTTCTTTTGCTTGTAGACACATGTAAATGTACATGCCCGTCCCAGTACTGCTGGGAAATGAGGAATTTCCTTATTGCAGCAATGTCCATTCCTTCATTTATTCAGCTGGGCAAATCTTGCAATGTTCTCTTGTTCTTACTAGCTTCAATCTATATTTGAGTGGGGAAAAAATGAGGCTGAAACAAGGGTAATCCGGGGAGAATGCGGGTGGGTACACAGCTAGTTAGCTTTATATGGACAATTGAGGCTCTGACTAGCAGGAAGCTATGTTTGATGTGTAATCCACACTGGGGAGAAGCTCTATACAGATAGTCCCCAAGTTATGAACATGATAGGATCTGTAGGCTTGTTCTTAAGTTGAACTTGTTTGTGCGTTGAAACAGGTATATTTTAAAGTGTAGCTCCATCCAAATGTGTATATATATTGCACTGTGTGTTTACTTTTTTTTTTAATTTTTTTGTATCATGTTCATTATATTTTATTGCTGCATTTTTATGTTTTATATTTGTTTTGTTGTAATTGTTGGGCTAGGCCTCATGTAAGCCACCTAGAGTCCCCTTGTGAGATGGTGGCGGGGTATAAATAAAGTATTATTATTACTATTTGAAACACCACAAGATGAGTCCACAGCAGACACTCTGCTGGCTGTTGTATTGGATCACACGTCGGACACTTCCCAAGTGTCTAGGACTATTGTTGTTGTTGTTGTTGTTGTTATTAATATTATTATTATTAGAAACACAACAAGATGCGTTTACAGCAGACACTCTGCTGGCTGTTGTATTGGATCACACGTCGGACACTTCCCAAGTGTGTAGGACTGTTGTTATTATTATTATTAATATTATTAGAAACACAACAAGATGCGTTCACAGCAGACACTCTGCTGGCTGTTGTATTGGATCACATATAGCTACTGCATTGAAACGTTTATTCATTGCTTTCCTTCCTTTCCTGTTTTTGCCACACAGCAGTATTGCCCGCCCGTTGCTATTCTCATGGGTCGCATGAGTCAGATGAAGAGTTTGATGCTCGCTGGGTGACATACTTCAACAAACCAGATATTGATGCCTGGGAGCTAAGGAAAGGTAAGTCTGAGTGGAAGCATTGACGTTGAGCTTGGAAACATCCATGAAAGCAGCATGATGCATTCTGCTGGGTGTCTCTTCTTCGGAACAGCAACAGATAGCTTAATGAGTAACTAACCTTTATTCTGTCTGTTTACTCAAATGGGCAGGAAAGAGAATATACAGAAAAAAAATTATTAGCTTGAGCTGTTTGACATGTCAGACATTACAATCCAGATATGCATCTTTGTTGCTTAACTTTAGATTAAATAAAAATAGAACAAAAGATTTATTTATTTATGGCATTTATACACTGTCCTTCTCACCCTGAAGGGGATTCAGAGCAGCTTACAAGATATATATACATACAATATATTATATTAGCATAGTACAATATCAGTATTATATATTACTATATTGTACTATACCATTGTATTGTAATATTATTAATAATATTACATGTAATATAAAATATATAATAATAATATTAGTATTATATTGTATAACATTATAATATTATAAATATTATATGTATATACAATATATTATATTACATTATATTATTAGTACAGCAAAGGAGACAAGGTGGAAATGTCCCCTGGCCCCCTCTCTCTTCACTCTGGCCTAGAGCGGCAGTTGGTGCTGCGGGGAGGCGTCCCCAACTGATGACATATGTAGGTGACAAGATGGAACTGTCCCCTGGCCCCCTCTCTCTTCACTCTGCCCCATTTTTGCACAGAATTGACATGTGAGATTCAAACCAAGATTTCACCCCCTGAATATGAGTGCATTGTCACGTTGGTTGACTACTGTTTTAATATACTTTTTTGTGTGTCAGGAGCGACTTGAGAAACTGCAAGTCGCTTCTGGTGTGAGATTTGGCCTTCTGCAAGGATGTTGCCCAGGGGATGTTGCCCAGATGTTTTGAAGTTTTACCATCCTTGTGGGAGGCTTCTCTCATGGCCCCACATGGGGATCTGGAGCTGACAGAGGGAGCTCATCCGTTTCTGGATTCGAACCTCAAATCCCCTTGGCACAAGGGTTTTACCTATTGTGCCTCTGGAGTCTCCTTTAATATACTGTAGAGTTATCTAATTATAGTGCAGGGAAATAGGAATGTGGAAGATGTTTACAGAACAGAAAGGGCTCAGTTTGGGACTGAGTTCTGGGATGATTTGATAGAGTCAAAATATAATGAATGTTGGGAAGAGGGATGGCATGGGTGTTCCTTTTCTCTCTCTAAGCAAATCTTGAGCATTCTCAAATTGTTTGTTCTGAAAGGTATGAACACGTTGGTTGGTTATGACTTGGTTCCAGAACCAAAAATAATCGATGCTGCTTTGAGGGCATGCAGACGACTAAATGACTTTGCCAGCGCAGTCCGCATCTTAGAAGTTGTAAAGGTCAGTAAAAGAGTGCTGAATGCAAAGCACCAACAATTAAATGAAAATATTATGTGATGATGCCTTCTTTGTCTCTCTGTAATTTTTTCTCTTTTTTTTTGTCTGGTACTACTTCTGGTTTCCAACCATTTTAATAGCTTTCATCTTCCCCAATTCCACCCCCCCATTTCACTTTTTCCATCCATTTCCATTCACAACTTCCACACACCCCCAATCACTTTTCCATTCTTCCACATAGCTTCCACTCCCCACACCCCCCCCCATTAGCTTTCAACCCTTTTCACATACTGCTTATTCAACAAAGAATTTCCAGACAAAAACAAGAGCTCTTTAGTAAATAGTACTTCTTTTCCAAATTAGCAGATAATAGCAGGCAGGTAGCAGGCAGAGGTATTTTGTTTTGTATAATCAGAATCAGTTTGAATGGACTTATGACTGCTCTTTTGCCTATAAATTTCTGTTTTCGAACTTTATTGACTTTTTTGACTTTATGACTGGACCCTTTATTGACTTTGCTTCTTTTTTGTTGTTTTTGCTTTTTTTTTTATTGTTCTTCTTTTGTTGACGTTTTGCTTCTTTCATAAATTTCTGATATAAATTTATTTTCTTTTTTCTGTGTTTTTTCCCTCCTTTCCCCCCCCCTATTATTTATAATTCTGAATTCATGTTGTCTTCTCATCAAATAGGATTAAAAAAGCCACAAAAAAAAAGCAAAACAAACCAGACAAAGCTCAGGACTTACCCTCTGCTAACTATCAACCGCAAGGCATCCAAGTAAAGCCATCAAAGCCAGAAAAGCAAGAAGAACAGTACAAAACAATAGGAGCAAAAACATCAAAGCAAAAACAAATCAGGCACAACCATCCTTGCACAAACTAAATATAGGACAAAACATGCAAGAAATGAGCACACAAACAAGAAACAATCACATGAAAACTCAAAAGCACAAGTGCCAAGAATAGGGCAAAGACATCAAAAGGCCCAAAAAGAACCCAAGAAGAAGCAAGTAGCCCGAATAGCGATCAGAGAACAGAGAGTATGCCAGCGACAAAAAAGGAAATATATATCCATATTTTATGCCAGGACCGTTAGAAACCAACAACAACTTTGAATGAATTTTGGGAATCTCAACAACTACTATCTCAACACCTTCAAACAACTCGGCCCTGCGACAAAAAAACGCATAATAATGGTTCAAGGGCAGAAAGTGTTACAGACTTGTGTGGTGCTGGGAGACTAAGGAACTCGGCCTTAATTTTCAGTGGTAAGACTGCCAATTTCCCATTCTTTGGGTGGACTTCATCCAGTCTAAAAACTTTCTATTGAACAAGCTTTAGTTATGAAGAATTCTTGAAGATAATTTTGGTTTTGTGGCGTGAAATTCTGGTGTAAGCCTGTGACAGATCATACTTAAATTGATTTTAATATTTATTTATTTATTTACGACATTTCTATGCCGCCCTTCTCACTCTGAAGGGGACTCAGAGCGGCTTACAAGTAAAAAGTAAATACATTATATTATTACCATAGCACAATATTAATATTATATATTCCTATATTCAGGAAATTCTTCCTAATGATTTTTGGTCTTTGTCTCTTTTCTATGTTCTACTTTCTATGGTTTCTATGCCGGCTAATGGCCGGCCCTTCTCACACTTTCCTGAGCTGAAGGGGACTATCGAGAGCGCTTTACACCCCCAGTATAAAAAAGTAAATAAATACATTATAGATTTATTAACCCCGTAGTCAAACAATTTATATTATATATTTCAAAATTGTACTCTATAACTTACTACTGTAATCATTAAAATCCATTCGTTGTTGTTGTTGTTGTTATTAATCTTGCCTGAAGCATTGAGTTCTAGTACTTACCAAATATACTCAAGTATAAGCCAGCATTTAAAGTAGGGTTTTTTATATTGAAAAAGCCCCCCTTGGGAGGGAGGCGGGCGTAGCTGAGGGGGAGCCACCTGCCGTTTGCAGACCTTGTTGTGGCTGAATGAAAGCAGGTGCCTCCCTGAGGGAACAAGGCCACACGAGGGAGGGCAAGGGCGAGGAGGAGCTCCTGCTTCACCACCAGCAGATGTGCAGAGGGAAAAGTGCCCAGCTCCATCTCCTCACCAGCCTCTTCCTCACCATCCGGATGCTCACCTGAGCCAAGGGAAGGAGGCGCCGTCCCTTGGAGGAGGGGGAGCCGGGTGCTTCCCCTTCAGCACATCCACTGCCAGCAAAGTATGAGCTGTGAGCTCCTCGCCCTCCTTCAGGTGCGGCCTTGTTGCCTCAGGGAAGCTCCTGGCCCTTGCTGCCATCGCCGCCGCTGTGATCGCGGCCCAGCCAAAGAGGAGGAGGAGAAGGGAGAGGAGGTAACACGGTGGCTGGAGAGGGAAGGATGGAAGGAAAGAAAGAAAGGGGGATTCCATGGGGAAAGACAGAGGCCTTTGAATCCACTCTCCAGCCCAGTCCATGCATTCCTGGGGGGCCCTTTGGGTGTCTGCTCCAGGCAGGCCTCTGTGGAGTCACCACCTCAGTCCCCAAAGCCACGCCTTGGAGGGATGGATGCCTCTCTGCTTCTGAGCCACACCAGGGGCCACCTTTTCTTCTTCCCCCTCTATTCCTCCTCTTATTTTTCTGCTTCTTCTTTTCCTTCTTCTCCTTCCTCTATTCTTCTTCCTCCTGCTTTTTCTTCCTTCCTCTCCTTCTCTTCCTTTTTCTTCCTCTCTTCCTCTTCCTTCCTTCTTTTTCTCCTTCTCCTTCCTCCTATTCTTCCTTTTTCTTGCTCTCCTTCTCCTCCTTCCTCTATTCCCCTCCTCACCCTATTTTTGACCAGTGGCTTCTGCATTTCCCACCCTTGGTTTAGACTCGAGTCAATAAGTTCCCCCATTTTTGTGGTGAAATTAGGTGCCTCGGCTTATATTTGGGTTGGCTTGTACTAAGGCAGATATATACGGCATATCTGCCTTAAGAATTAAAGCAAACTTTTTGAAAAATACCAAGAGAGCCCTTGTTTTCAACTATTTCTTTTTCCTTGTGGACCACAACTGATTTATTTGAAGTTCTATTCCATATTTAGTTTAACAATAGGGGAGGGAAGAGTTCTTGTTGGACTACAGCTTCCAATATTTCTTGCCATTGGTTATGCTTGCTGTGCTGTTGGGACCTGCAGTCTGCTAATAT